TGGTGGGGACTTTGTTCTCTCTCTCTCTCCCCTCCCCAAAGGAAGTTGGGCATCAGGCATCACCTTCTGCTACGTACAGCCCTAAAAAATCCTGCACTGGGGCTCCATGTTCCTGACACAGCACCATGAAAGCCACAAAGCACAGAGGTAGGACAAGAGGTCCTTCAAAAGGACACTCTACTCTGCCATCTTACTCCTTGAGTGGGACTAAATGAACAACTGACCAGAACATCGAACCCATTCCAGCCTACACAAATCCAGTGATTCACTTTTCACCTTGAGGACATAATCATTTGCTCATATCCACTGGGAGAAAGTGGGTAGGGGACCGACAGACTGAAAGGCAGGCAAGACAGAGACACAGACACACTTCTCATTTGCCAGAAGCTACACAGGATATCAAAAGCCAGCTCTCTTTACCCATCTTCAAAAGAAACATTACAGACTGTCTCCTCACACTCTCCCCCACCCCCGCGCCAGCACTCTCACTTGCTGTACTCAGGAAGAAAACAACCTCTATTTCATGCAGCATCCAGAGCTTAAGGTGAGCTGCATGACCTACTTCAGTGCAAACATACCAACCAGGAAAAAATATTCTTCCTCTCAAACACAGGCATGAATTTCTGTGCAGTGAATCTGAAAGCTAAACTTACTTAAGATTTAACTTAAACACAGCTCAGACAGAACATGTTGCTCCTTCAAGCAACTGCACCCTAAGATCTGGGAGGAGCATCCTAGCATTAAACTTACTTAAGATTTAACTTCTTAAACACAGCCCAGACAGAACATGTTGCTCCTTCAAGCAATTGAACCCTAAGATCTGGGAGGAGCATCCTAGCATCTGCTGTTATTTCACAAAGAATGCCAGAAATTAAGGGACAAAGCACAGAAATCAGTTCCCAGAAAGTACACTTCCCTGGTGAAAAATGCATAATTCTAGAAATATGTATGTGATCTAGAATATCTCTGATATCTAAATGACATCTTCCTTTGCACATCTAGTCCTGGAGTCACACATAACACAGCAGATCATGTTATAGATGAGATGATGTGTTTGAGCAATCATTCCCAACCTTGGATGAGCCAGGAGTTCTTGGACTGCAACTCCCAGAAACCCTGGCCAGCACAGCTAGTGGTGAAGGCTTCTGGGAATTGCAGTCCAAGAACTAGGTTAACCAAGGCTGGGAACCACTGTGTTAGAGCAAGAAATACACACTTATCACCTGTCTTTCAGACCTGGAAGCTATACACTGGTATTCCCAGTGACAGTGCAAGGAAACACAGAGCACGTTCCTTGATCCAGGAGCATATCTTTGTTGGTTGTTTGGTTTGCTACTAGCACTGTGAAGATCCTGCACTTAATGTGCCCTCTAGAATACAGCTGTTCACAACTTAAGACCAGCCAGCTATGGGGAAATGCTTTTTACTGAGAATAAAAGAATCATGAATTGAGATAATCTCTCTCTCTCTCTTGCTTGAAGTAAGGTGGGAACATCTCAGGGCCAAAAGGTTCTCCAACAATGGCTCAGAGAAGAATCACTATGAGAAGTCTCGTCTGGTATTCTTGAAGGCTTTCACAGCTGGAATACAATGATTGTTGTAGGTTTTTTGGGCTGTTTGGCCGTGTTCTGGATGTTTTTCTTCCTAACGTTTCACCAGTCTCTGTGGCTGGCGTCTTCAGAAGACAGGAGTTAGAACACAGTCCTAGCTTCTAACTCCAGTCCTCTGAAGATGACGGCCACAGAGACTGGCGAAACGTTAGGAAGAAAAACCTTCAGAACACAGCAAAATAGGCCGAAAAACCTACAAGAACCATCAGTCTGGTCTAGATTGAAAACCCAAAACAAAAATAGGCAGGGGCACCATTTATTTATTTCATTTATATTCTGCCTTTCTTCCAATAAGTCAGAATCAATTTGATGGCACATGGTTATTGTTTCTTCAATGAAACTGAAGCCTTTGCTGAGTTTCACAGCCCAGTGAAAATTTGGACCCAGGTCCTCCACACCCTGGTCCAATTAACTAATCCCTGCATCTCACAGGCAGGCATTAGTTATCATAAAGGCCGAGGGAGCTGGGAGATGTACATAGCTCTTGCATAGGACTTGGCAACAACAGAAGTGGTAATATAGTAGACAGCTGACAACTGACACAGAGATCAGTGGCTTTGATCTCACACAGTTTGCATTGTCCCAATTAGCCACTGTTTAAAGATGAGAGCAGAGAAGTGGAAAGGAGTTGCAGGAATATTTTAATTATGATCTCTCATGTTCTTCCTTCAACGTAAACCCATGCCTTCTTGTGCTAAAAGTTGTTAGTAGCTTCATGGAGTAGGGAAGAAAAGTTAGAAATCCCACTATGATGTTTCTCATTTTCTATATGCAGCACAGCTGATCATGGATCTTCTATACAGTGTTGACTAGGGATGAGACTTTCAGGTTAACCACATTAGGAAAAAAAACCTATGGAAGAGGAGCTTTTTTTCATTTTCAGAGTCTTTCGTGGTTTCACGATAGAAAGCCTCTGGAAAACAAATGATTTAGGATTGCAAAAGAGATGGTAACAAAACTTGTCATATTTCATTCGTATTTCCTCACTTATATTACCCTTGTTTCACCCTTGTATGCAAAATTGCCTCATTGATATTCCAGATTTGATGACTGATGATGTGATAAAATAACATAGTTCTGCCCTAGTCTGGCGAAAGAGATGATGATGATCTGATGAATCTGCCTGATGCTTCTCTTTCTCATCTGTACTGTTTCCTAATGATGATGTAAAAGTGCTGCCTGCTGCCTAAGTCTGATGATGATTTGTCTTTCTCAGGCACCCTTGTGCTGCCTGCTTTTGGAGCAGATGATTTCTGTTGCCCTTGAGCCTGCTTTCTTGGAATTGCTTTGAGTGTCCTGTCAGGCTTAACCTGGGCTAGTGGCAGAAAAACAAATGGGGGAAAATGAAATGAAAGCATCACAAAAAGCTGGGTACTTCTGCTGTTACTGACAGAACCAGCAGTCTTAAAGACCTATAAATGAATGAGGACCCCTCCCCAAAAAAGAATTCAAAATGGTTTTTCCCTTCACATTCCTAGTATTTATTATGGCCCTCACATTCATTCATTCAGTCAGTCAGTGCAGATCTACTGTTCATTTAAAACACAAACTTATTGGGACAAGAAGTGAAAGATGAGGCATGGGAAAAAGGGGGGAAGAGAGTGAGGATCCCTGGGGATTGTATAAAGGCTCTCAGTACAGCAACTGTATGGATGACAGGCAGGCGAGTCTTTTGGAATGGAAGACTGAGGCCCAGGATTATCCATACTCATCACCTTCAAAGACACGCACCATATGTAATCAGGGAGGGTGAGAGAGGCTTGGAGGTGCAGTCCAACAACAAGTGTGGCTACTTGCTTTTTTTTTTTTTTTTTAAAGATAAGAGAGGCTTGGAGGTGCAGTCCAACAAGCGTGGCTACTTGCTTTTTAAAAAAACCCAAATATAAATGAAACTAAGCATCCGCATTGAATGCTGGCTACAGACGATATTCCACAGGCCAATCATCATACAAACCACTGAGGACCAGTCATCAGTTAATATGCAAGAACACTGAACTGCTCACCTAGGTATGGGCTCACTCACATGGAGCCATCCACTGCTGTACCCCTGCAAGGGTGCATCTTGTATAAAGCACTGCCCGTTCACATGCTCTGCCACCTTAGCAGAGCACTCCCAAGCAATGCGTTGCATCCCAGGTGCTCTTCCCTCCCTACTAAGTGAGAGTCACCCACCTCCTGCTGCAAGACATTGTACGAGTGCTTTCAACCTAGTACTCTGCAACAATCCTAAAAAACACAGAAGGACCCCCTCAGCAACAAAGCAAGAGCTGGGAGTAGAGCAAGAATCATACAGCCCCGGGGATAAGCACTGAGCCCTACACCCGGTAACAGAGGCACTCTTCCCAGGTAAATCTCGGTTGTTGCTACTGCACCATCCATCGTAATAGCATTATGCTAGACGAAAAGAGAGACAGATAAAATGTACACAAACTCGTACATTGTGCGCACACACAAAAACTGTACGTTTTCATATTCAGCAAAAAAATTGATATGTTTTCATCGAGTAAGGCTGACATTTACCACACTGTTGTTTAACAAGCAGACTGTACTCTTGTCCGGTGGGTTCACAGAATATATTTGTTCGTTGGGTTCAAAATACATGCCCTACAGTCTTCGGCTGAAAGTCTTCTAAACTTCCCTGGGGCAGAAGGTGGTGTGATTCTCCACTGGCAGCAGCTACCCTTTTCACCCAGAAGTTGCCCCTTTTCTGTCCCACAAAAACCATTCCCCAGATGGTCAAAGAACGCAACATTAAACTCACTTAAATCCTCGACTAGGGGGCAGCTGCATCCAAAAGCATGGCGGGAGATGGCGGCCAAAGGCACTACCAATGTGTATAACCCACAGAGATGGATGCATCAGTGGGTGCTACTTTATCCTGTTTCCTTCATTTTCAAACATTTAGCCTATGAGGTTGTTTATGTAACCAAAATGTCACGACGTAACACACAAAAGGAAGAAATCACCAGACTCAGAGGAAACCCAGAGTTTATAGAACTACAAGAAACGTCCAAAAGGTAGGGGAGAAACTACAAGGGTTAAAAAAAGGCCCAGTATAGCCCAATGAAGACTGATACTATTCAGTAGCTACTGAGTGTTAAATGGGAAGAGAGTAGAATCCTGTGGAGTGAAGATACCATGTTTGTGGCAGCTTTTATGTTTAGGTAACTTGGGGAAGCCCACAACTAGGGCAGTGGCTCAGCCCGAGGTGATGATCCCTGGGCCCTGCTCTGATCTCAGGCCTCCAGTACTTGTACTATAGGGGTGTTTAGGGATGGGGAACATTAAAAGTGGGCCAGTGTTTGCATGAATGTATAATGGCAGACAGATATTGGCATCAGCTTGGAAACCAGGGTGAGATTTCGGAATATGGTACATGTTTATCCCTACCTTGTTGGATGCCATCTCACTGACAGAGCGGTAGGTCTGGATGGTCTCCAGCTGATCAAGGCACCAGTCAAGCTCTTCCAAGGTCTCTCTGGCCATCTGCTGGTATGTCTCCTCTGTCAGAGTAGAGGGTGGAAAGGAGAAACCGTTTGCTTAAAAAGTGACCTTTCAAGCATCCTATATCAAGATTGAAGGAGCTCGTGTTCCCTTGGCTTCTGCATACAAGTAACCACCTGGGCTAAAGGGATATGAAAGCCACTTTTGTCAAAATTATTCATGTACAGAGTTGACAATAGTGGTTAAGAGGGAATTGCTAGACTGGAAAGTACACGTTAGCCTCTATGCGACCGGCAACTCTTGTAACCTACCAGTCTTCCATTTCAGCTCACCAGGGGCTCAATGAGATTTCTGGTTTTGGCACCACTCTGTGACCACAAAGGTAAAGAGTAGGGAAAGGAAGTGCCTGTGAAGCTCCTGGCAAGCTACAGCACACACAAATATGTGGTTAGTACTAAGTTGCACAGAACTGGTTTAAAGGCAAAATAATGTCTAGCACCTGGAGTGTAGTCCTGTACCCAAGAATCTAGAGATGGGGCAAGTTTTCTGGACTACAGCTCTTGAGGATCCACAAGGCAGTTTTTCAGCCTGCAAAGGTACCTTTCAAAGCTCTGACTCTTTTCTCCTTCGAGGACTCTTCTCTGCCTTCTTGGCAGTGCAGTTTGCTCCAACCTGACTCACTTGGTACTACTAGGTCTTTTCATGTACTCAAAGCACAGAAAATGCTACAGTTTACTCCATACCACAGCTCAACACCCTCATGATGGGCCTCTAGTCCTTTTGGGAGCATAGGGTTTAATGGATAGATTTTGGGTCTCAATAACACAGCATTGCTACAAAGTGATTAATGGATTTAGCAACACAGGAACACAGCTCAGATACTTTACTTTTCTGCATTATAGTTCCCAGAATCCTCCCAGCCAACAGGGTCATGCTGGTTGGGGGGATTTTGGGTGATGTAGTCCATAAGAGCAACATTCCCTTTCTTTGCCACCCACACCAAGCTCCTCTTTTGCCTATGCTCCAGTACCTGAGTCGGCTGCCCTCGCCTTGTGGTAATGCCTACCTCTACACAGGTTGCCTCTGCTAACCCTAACCCTGATTTACCCCACAGAAAAAAGGTGTGGGCTGTAGATGCCTCCTCCAAAGAATTCAGCTGGTCTGCATATGTACAGTACTCCATGGAAGTCTGAAGAAAGTGGGGAGGGAAGAGGAACTGACTGAACCTCTATTTGACTTCAGGAACCTCATGCCAGGCCTGTGAAGTTGACTTTGTGCTTCCCCACTAGAAAGAAGGTGTGGGCTGTAGATGCCTCCATGGAACTCCATGGAAGTCTGAAGAAAGTGGGGAGGGAAGAGGAACTGACTGAACCTCTATTTGACTTCAGGAACCTCATGCCAGGCCTGTGAAGTTGACTTTGTGCTTCCCCACATTTTCCCTTCTGGAATTTGTCCTCCCTTGGGGCTAAACATCAAACTTCTATTACCTGAAAGGGTGGCTTTGCAAACGCTTGGCTGGCTGCCCATGGGTGACCTCCTAAGGAGAAAGAAAAGAGACACTAGATCAAATATGGGGATCTCGCTTCTGACATAAAAGACCTGTGGCTTTCCCCCATGTGAGCCCACTCTCTCATGCACCAAAATATATCCTATCTGTGGGCTTGCAAGCAGCAACTTCCCTTGATGACAGCGCGTGGACTCCAGATCCATCCTACTCTCAGATGCTCCCATAGAGCAAGTCAGAACTCCAGGAGGTTATAAGTGGAAAATGTGAAGAGGAGCTTGGAAAACCTGCTTTTTATAAGTCCTTCATGAGCGCGTGGACTCCAGAGCAAGGCAGAACTCCAGGAGGTTATAAGTGGAAAATGTGAAGAGGAGCTTCGAAAACCTGCTTTTGTAAGTCCTTCATTACTTGCTACAACATTTGAAAAGTAATCCATTGCCTTTACTCACTTTAATATTGAACAAGTGATTCATTACATGAGTTTTTGCACTGCTCATCATTACTTCTTTTTTAAAATTCCACTACCATTTTAGAAAAACCATGTAGGAATGATAAAAGAACAGCGTAACACTTCAGAAATCCATTCAAAATCCTTCTGAAAAGGCCTCAATTTTTTTTTTACCCAGGTTAACTACATATTTGAAAGTAACTACAAATCATGACTTATTTACACAAATACAGTAATTGTTTCTACCGACTGCATTGCTTTTGAAATATAACTTTGTTACACATGCATTTTCCAAAAAAGTAACTGGTTAAAGGTAGCTACGTGAGTGGTTACTTCCAAGCTTTGGAAATGAGAGAGAGAATGAATTCTTAAGAGACCATGGGATCCTGCCTCTTTACATCCGCACTCTAAAAACATCAGAGTAAGAGTCCATCAAGTCCAGTCCTATGTTGGGCCACAGCAGGTACTTGCAAGAAGGCCACAAGCAGGCACAGATCACCTGGATTTAGAGTTATCAGCCTACTACTGCAGCTGTGTGCACCACAGGATTTCCCCCTCTGATGACATCTGTGCTAGCATGAGCACTGAGTAAACTCTGTGCTGTCTGCACTTCCTCTCTTGCCTAACTGAAGAGGAAGAAGCAGAGGCAACACTTGCTGGACTACAACTCCCAGAATCCTACAGCAAGGAGCTACAGTGCAAAAACAGCCCATTGCTCCATCTTGGAAATGATTGTGTGGCAAAGATCAAGGAGGGTGCAGTACGTTCTAGGTGGTCTGCAGGATTCTGAACACCTTCCCATTGCTCCATCTTGGGAAATGTATGTGTGCAAAGATCAAGGAGGGTGCAGTACGTGCTAGGTGGTCTGCAGGATTCTGAACACCTTATTCTTCTGCCTCCCCAAATCTATTAACCTAACAGGTCTGAACTGACTCTACCACAGTCCAAGAACAGGCAATAGAATTTAATTATGTTGGGGGCCAGATACAGGTATTTCTTGAAATTGCTTGTAATGGTTACTTACTTATTAGATGTTGGAGTGGGCACATTGGCCAGGATGGAGAAATTATTACGCACGCTCCTCAAGCTTGCCAGGACCTACAGGAAGAAAATAGGCAGAGAGGGTTTCAGCTGGGCAGTCAAACTTTGTATCCAGAAAAAAGTCATCAGAACAGTAAAATTTGCACAAAAACAAATCCTATTCTCCCACTTTAAGAATCAAGGGTGAATAAAAGGTGTACTGGAATTATGGGCTGTGAAATAAGTTATTTCAAAGAAGGAGAAGGAGAAGGAGAAGGAGAAGGAGAAGGAGAAGGAAATGGGCTGTGAAATAAGTTATTTCGAAGAAGAAGAAAGAAGAAAGAAGAAGAAAGAAGAAGAAAGAAGAAGAAAGAAGAAGAAGAAGAAGAAGAAGAAGAAGAAGAAGAAGAAGAAGAAGAAGAAGAAGAAGAAGAAGAAGAAGAAGAAACTTTATATTTCTTAATAGGAATTCTTTTTTAACATCCAGGTTGAATAGAAGAACTGAAAATCTTTGGAACTACTATTATTTTTTTTCTTTTAAAAATGATCCTAATACAGATACCATAGACAGGAACTTTTCAAAGCAAAGAACTCTGCTGAGGATAATTTTCTCCCTTAAAACACAGAGCAATCTGGGACATACCTGGGCAAATGGCGTAACTATCAGGTCTTCAGCGTGCCTGTAAAGGGAAAAAAAAACCCACAAGTCTATGTATTGGCTGAGAGGAATGAGACACAGACCATAATGACATGATAAGCCCAAATCACAGCTCCCAAACTGAAAGAATCAGATAACATATATCAAATGACATTTTAAGGCTGGTGGATCATTTTGCTGAGTGGAAGAACCAATTGTTCCAATCCCCAAACCATTTATACTTGATAAGGATAGAATGGGAGGCCTGTTAATGATATTCCACTCTATATTCTGGATATTATCACTATGCTTTCACCTTTATATTAAACACTGGAAAGTGTAAAAACTTGACAGCTGCCAATCACAACTTTGTACAGGAGATGGGATTTTTCCCAAGCACCTGCAATTCATCTGGCTATTTCTGTGGGGAAGAATCTAATAAAAAAACCTGTCACTTCATTTAAACTGCTAAGCAAGCCTCCATGTGGCTACCAGTGACCTGCCATCCTGGTCCTGAACAGATCCAGTTATATTTCAAGATCACAGCCACTACTTTCAGACCATTTCCTTGGGGCAAACACTATCAGGGCCTTTAGACCTTCCCATTAGGTAGAATGAGCCAGCTGCTTTAGGCTGCAGATGCCTAAAGTCTCGTCGTTGTCGTTGAGTCGTTTAGTCGTGTCCGACTCTTTGTGACCCCATGGACCAGAGCACGCCAGGCCCTCCTGTCTTCCACTGCCTCCCGTAGTTGTGTCAATTTCATGTTGGTTGCTTCGCAGACACTGTCCGGCCATCTCATCCTCTGTCGTCCCCTTCTCCTCTTGCCTTCACCCTTTCCCAACATCAAGGTTTTTTCCAAGGAGTCTTCTCTTCTCATGAGATGGCCAAAGTATTGGAGCCTTAGCTTCAGGATCTGTCCTTCCAGTGAGCACTCAGGGTCGATTTCCTTCAAAATGGATAGGGTTGTTCACCTTGCAATCTAGGGGACTCTCAAGAGTCTAAAGAGCCTAAAGTCTACTAGTTCCCAAAGGTAGCTCGTTCCGTGCCTTCCAAAGTGGCAGGCGGTCTTGGAGGACAGTAGAGAACACTGTTTCACCGCCCGTTATGAAGCCAGATTCCTATGCCAATCCAACTGGCTCCTATATATATAACTGGAGGTAGAGGCGCCATCATGTCCTTTGCCTCTGGCAGTGAAATGTCTTGGCCTGGCACTAATCACAATGCATTTATATCAGGCATCAGAAGGTCCAGACTGGGAGCATCATAGATCAGTCGTTGGACTCCTCACAACATTCAAAGTTGATAGGCAAGGGAAGAAACAAAAGGCAGCTGCAGCTCAGTCATTCCCACGACAGCCCATAATCCTCATGGCCTGAAGAAGAGCATCCATTTTCCCACTATGTCACCAAATAACCACCTTCTTTCTGGCCTGTCATCCATGCCATTCACCCACCCTCAGGCTGACAACTGGTGTCCTTAAATAAGGGCCAAACTACATATTACAGGTAACCCATTCACTATAAGTGAAATAAATTCGGCCTCCCAGAGACATGATTTAGGTCTTAGTGGAAGAGAAGGTCTCAGACTTTTGTGCCCGAGAAATGAGACTTGGAAATAAAGCCTGTATTAAGCTCATGAAGATCAATTGCAAAACAATGCCAGGTAATTTAAAAACTAAATCTGTAAGGTAAGAAAAGCTCCTGTTTTGACACTCAGTTGCCAGCAGCTAAGGAATTCCTTCTTCTAATGGTGAGTTATCTGTAATATATAGTAAGTCAATCTAAGTGTATGGAAAGGTACCACATAAGCCCTGAACTGTGGCCCTTCCAGCATGCACTACGGGTGTCCATGTACTTCTTCTGAGAAAGGGCAGAAACTCACGCTTCACTGGCAATGGAGGAGTTGCGTGACATGGTCTTTGGTGACATGTCATAGTCACTGTCCGAACGGTATAGGAAGGACTCGCGCCTCTGGCTCTGTGGGAAGCTGGGGTGAAGCACCAGGCCTGGGCTGGCCTGGGAATCCAGTGGGCTGCGTCCAGGTGATGGGCCATTCTCCACCTCAAAGCTGCATGAGAAGAAAGAGGGAAATCGGTTAAGGAAGAACTTGCACTTTCCACAGATGGACAGAAACCATCTCTCATGGTTGCGGAAACATGTTTACCGCAGTAGTAAAATCTGAGAGTGGGGAAACAGCCAGTCCTCACTGTACCCAGTTGCTGTGTGCAGTGTCCCATCCTATTTGTGGAGCACAATCTGCCCAGACCTTTTTGGTCATGATGCCTTTTATTTTGCTCAAACTGCCTCCCCATGAAAGCCAACCACCTAAATCCGCTGCCTCCCTTCTTACACTAGCTTAAGGAACACTCAAAAGATTCCACACAGCATTTCACTGTCAGGCATTTCAGATTATTCTTTGGCTATGGATGTTTGGAACAATCCGTATTATCAGTATGCACATTTTGATTGCTTTTTGCTGTTGTTTTTCTTTCTTTCAATCTTGCTAAGCCACTTTAGGTTGCTTGCACCGGAAAGACGGCCAGTAAAACACTGCAAATAAATCAAGTCAAATACAGATCTGTGTACCTCCTACAACTCTCTGTGAGCCAATCCTGCACTGAATTTGCTACTTGATCAATAGTGGGGTGGGGTGGGGGGAAGATATTCCCCATTCAATTGCTTGGCCCAATCGTGCACAACCAAGGAAGCAGGTAGCTAACAACGAAAAATATGCCCCAAAGCCACTGTACTTCTTAAAATCTTTTCTTTCTCTTTTTTTTTAAAAAAGGAAGCAGCAAGCTTTTGTTTGCAAATGCAACTCTTCCACTATGCAAAGAACCCATATGCCTTAGCAGAAAGTGCCTCTCAGCCCTACACAACAGCCTCCTCACACACCCTTCTGTAATAATTCCAATACAACTCCTTCTTCCACCATCAAACAACGTCTTGTTCCAGCTCTCAAATTCTGGTCCAGCTCAAGTGCTGGATTTTGCATAAAAGCTGCAAACAGAGCGTGTTTATACAAGATATGCACATTTGCATCAATCTGATTAACCTGTTTTATTTATTTAAGGCACAATGAAGTAGACATTTCAATGCAGAACTTGGGATGAAACATTTGAGGTTATTAAAGTACACAACATAAACACCGTCTTGACAACACACACACACACACGCACACACACTCTCTGTCTTGACAACACACACACACTCTCTCTCCCCCTCCCTTCCTCCTTTCTTAATCATGTCACCAACTCCCTCTACTGGTAAACATATTGCTATCTCTATCTATGTTTACAGTTTACTTTAGGTGAAACATAAAATAACTTCCTCTCCTACCAGAGCCTTATTTGAAGGTACGCAGCCCTCTCCTTGTCACTATAGTTCAAAAATAAGACCGTACAGACATGATGATGACACCTTCAAGCCAGCTCCCCCACCAGACTTTGGTAAGATCTTGCCTGATGAAGAGACCTAGAGGCCTTGAAAAGCTTGCACATAATTTTGTGCCGTTTTGGCTAGCCTACTATTCTAATCTAGATTCTGGAATTCTTTTAACCAGGGGAAGGGCAACCTGTTGGGGGTAGGGGATCATAAGGCATCCTTCCAACCCATGTGGGTTGGCATTCTGTTCCACTGCTGAATGCAGGCATCACAGTGGTGGTTTCCTATTTGCTTGTTAAAGTTGCACCTTCTCATGGACAAGGTGAATAGGAGCACATGTATCTTGTTTTAATGCAGGCCTGCATTTCTGGGGGACTTGAAGAAGACTAATTCTGCTTGAAAACAAAGTGTACACTCCTTACTTCTCTTGTTTTCAAAGAAAACTGCAGCTTTTTTGGGGGGGGGTGGTAACTGCTGCACAGCCGAAGTCCACTGAAATGGCAAGTACAAAAATGGGCAGAAGGTGTCCACATGACTCTAGAGCAATGGCCTCAACCTTGAGTCTCCAGGTGTGCTTGGACAAAAAGTCCCAGAAGCCTTTAAAACTAGCTGTGCTGCTCAGCATTTCTGGGAGTTGCAGTCCAAGAACATCTGGAGACCCAAGGTTGGGAATCACTGCTCTAGAGGGATGTCCTCTAGTATTAGCACTCAAAATACATGGAGCTACCGGTACTATTCTCCCTTTTCCTCCAAAAACTATTTGTTGGAACATCAGAAAAAGAAACAAGTGTTACAAGTGGAAAACAGTATTGTCCCCCCCACGCTATAAATGAGGTTAGACTGAACAATAAAAGTTTTGTTTGAAAGCACTGCTGGTCCTTAAGTGATTTAAGTGCAATTGCACGTGTCTTTACTCAGCAGTCAAGTCCCACCATTTCCAGTAGGTATTACTTTTACGTAAGAATCCACAGGAACCAGCATCAATACATTTGTATCAGCAAACTGTCAACAGATGTGAACAACACTCTCATCTTGTCCAACAGTGAACAGCTGTGCAACTTGAAGGCTGTTCTAGAATAAACATCAATAAAGATAGAATCCTGCCTCTGTGGCCAGAAAGCAAAAATGCCACCTGCATCATTGCCTCAAAATGTTTCTTCTTTTATGGATACAACAGTGGCCGCACTGTCTAGGGAATTCAGGTAGTTGGGAGTTGCAGACTGGTAACTTTTCCAAACTGCGGTCACTGAGGGAACCTATGCAGAACCTGAGATGACCCTTCAAAGTTTGAATAATCAAAGTACAACACACCATCAGGAAAAGGCTCCTCCAGCCTTAGCTTTTGTCCCTGCAAACTCCCGAAACTTGCAATTGAGAGGCGTTCAGCTCGGCTATCCAGCACCCAGAGGATTGGACCTAGCACATAGATAATCTCTCCCAGGTGTGACCCACAAACTCCTCCCCAACGTTTCAAGGCTCTTCCCAATGATGGGCTGCCCTTTCCAAAATGCTGTTCTACAAGTTTGTTTCCCTCCATTGCCAGCTCCCCATTGCCATCTAAAAGTAACAGAATAAACCACTCATGAGAGAGAAAAAGAAAGAGAGAAAGTATTCGATTGGACAGCTCCCCCCCCCCCAGTCATGAGAGAGAAAGAGAGAGAGAAAAAATATTCAATTGGACAGCCCCCCCTTCTCTCTCTCTCTCTCTCTCTCTCTCTCTCACACACACACACACACACACACAGAGGGTTCCCTAGTGCCCTTCTAGATCTGACTGGAAGGAAGAGGCAAAGAGAATTTTTGCCCAGAGCAGCTCCCTGTGCCAACATGAGCAGTCACTTCTTGGCCAACTAACCTTCGGGTGGACAGATGGAGGGTGGGCAGAGCCATGACGCGATCGGACATGGCCTACAGCGCAGGCCATGTGGACGTGGGCCGTCCTCCTTGCTACCTCAGAGTTGGGAGGCCAACGTTTCAAACCCTCCGACCCAGATACCTGCAGAAGTCAAAGAGCTTTTGTCTACAGTTAGTCCCGCCCAGTGCCGTCCTGGGGGATGTTGGTGCAATCCAGTTGAGAAATGCAGCTTAAGAGAAAAGGGACTGACTCATCATCACTCAGCAACCAGGACTCAGAGTGGAGTGGTTGGAAGCACACTGGCAAGCCCCCTCCCCAGGATACCCAGAGAAAAGGGGAAGCCACATTAGGGGCTTGAGAGGGGAATAAACAGACCCATCAGCCTGTTCCTCAAGGAGGAGGCTGGATTTCTCATTTACTGTCGTTTCAGCATGTTATGGTTTCAACGGACGCTAAAAAATAGTTCTTCCTCTATTCTCTCTCTCACTCTCTCTCTCACACACACACATTCACTCGCTCTCCTGTTTGGGGCTTTGCAATAGGATGTCCCCTTCTGAGATAAAGGGATTGCCAAAGAGAACTACTGAAATCAAACATGCATGGCATGTTTTCACTCGCTCTCCTTTAGGGCTTTGCAATAGGATGTCCCCCTTCTGAGATAAAGGGATTACCAAAGAGAGCTACTGAAATCAAACATGCATGGCATGTTTGATTTCAGTAGTTCACTTCAATATAAGCAAATTTTAAAGTGCTTAGTGTCTAGGAAACAGAAGAAAATAAAATCATGAGACCAATGGTGGTAACACAGAGAAAAAAGTTTCATATCAGTCAAGCAAAAAGCTCATTTTGCAAAACCTTCTCTGCTCCAAAACATGGTGTGCAAGGCAATCTTGACTGGCGCATGTCAATCAGACAACAGCTCAAACCCTTCCACAAAAAGGAAAATCAATGATTAGACTATCCCGTCTCCTTAGAATTTTATAAGTCCCTCCAGCTCACCCATGTTCACTGTTAACGGTTGAACAGATGTGACCGTAGACCAGTTCCTTTCTACTAGCTTGCGTCAGAGGGGTGTTATAAGGAAGCAAAAGGGAATCCTTGAAATACGTTGCCTTGAGATCAATGGAGAAAGGACAAGATAGGAAAAATCTGTTGGGCTCTTTTATGAATCATGCTATTATTTTTTGCATTATGTTAACATTTCAGTTCACGAGCCACCATACACATGAAATAAAAATAATTGAATCCATTAATTTTCCCAAATGAAGCTCAGAAAATGACAATCCAAGCCTTTTATCCCCATGACAGATTTTCTAACTGGGAGATTCTAACAGATGTAGTCCAGAAAAAGTAACTTTTTCCTAATTCTGCCTAAACAGGATTTGGAATGGGACTTTGCACATCAGGGCAAAACTGATGTTAATTCTGAAATGGACAATAGTGGGGCTGCCTCCTTCCCCCGCATCTATACATATGGTGATTCCCAAGTAAAAACAGGTTTATAATTTTTAAGTACTCTTTACCAGATCTTAGGGAAAGGTAAAGGTTCCCCTTGACATTTTCAGTCCAGTTGTGTCCGACTTTAGGGGGTGCACTCATCCCGCTTTTCAAGCCATAGGGCCAGGCACCTGTCCAAAGACAGTTTTCCGTTGTCACGTGGCCAGTGTGACTAGTGAACGCCGTTTTACCTTCCCACCGAGATGGTACCTATTTTATCTAACTCACATTTACATGCTTTAGAACTGCTAGGTTGGCAGGAGCTGGGACAAGTGACTGTCGCATGGATGCGATCTTACGACTGCTGGTCTTCTGACCCTGCAGCACAGGCT